TTTAGATTTATGGACGAACGCTATTTCAATTCAGGACGAACACTATTACCGTTCGTTGATAATTAAGGAAGGAACGAACGTTCGGTATATGACCGAGCGTTCGTTTACCACATACGCATTTGGACGAGCGTTCGGTATAAGACCGAGCGCTACTTAGGACGTACGCTTTTGAGTCTAAACTTAGTTGCTGATTCAAAATCATAGAAATTTGGAATTTTCATAATATGGGATACTTAAAGTTCATGCTTTAACAATTTGACTAAGTGTAAAATGGTAGATTTTCAAGCTTCTCAATTCCTCACACAACACTCATGAGATCTACGTTTGGCCGAACGCTCAAACGTAAATTATGTATAAGAGGGCGTTCGTCCTCAAAGGGAAATCCTTTCCAAATAAAAGGGTTCGACTATTTCAAGTAATTCACTATGAATACCGAACGGTCAATGACCGAATCGATAATGAACGTTTATTTTCATAAACTTAATTAATCAAACTCATCTTACAGTATACAAAATTTTCCAGTATAAGCTTTCATACATCAATTTACTCAAATCATTATACAAATCCATGAATTTTCACACATCATCTCATCATACAACTCATTTTCCAATTAAATCAAACCATATAACATTGCATCATTTTCATACATCATTTCAAAATCATTTTCATATACAAACAGTCCAATATCATGAATCATATTTCAAGCAGCATATAAACGCACATACAGTACAGAAAATCACATTAATTAAATCTAATAAGCTTCCCTTACCCGGATTCAGTAGTGAACGTTCTAAAAGTGAGTTGTTTCTACTCGTCCAAAGGTGGCTTTCTATTCTCAATGTTCCTCTTAAACTCTTCAACTAAAAATTAACAAAAAGAAAACGAAAGAATTGAGTTTACACCCATGCATGCAGCTGGATCAGGGTTTGTAGTAAATCCAGAAACGATCGCCCAAGGAAACTTACCAGAACTGGAAGTGGTTCGGTCCAAAATGAGCTCACGTCGCAGTGGTTGTTCTCACGGCGCTGAAACGTGAACGGAGTAGAGAATGGTGAGTTGCAGAAGAGAGAAGGAGAATGGTTTCTAGAGAGAAGATAGAGAATTTGGGATTCAGAAATTATGGGGAAGAAGATGAAGTGTGCAGAGAAATGGGAAGAGTTTTCCAGAATTCATTTTTCTCTTCCCAAGCAGGACTAGCGTCCATTCCTCTGCTGCCACATGTCTTCCATTAACGTTTTAGAACATTCCAAAAATGACATCTGGCCGTTGCATGCAGAGTGAGTGTGAGTGCGTTTTAATGGAGGTGCACGTGTGGCGAGGTGCATTTATGGAAGCAGAGAGGTGAATCATCACCGAATTAATGAGACGTGACAAAATTAAATTAAGATAATAAATATTTTTATTTCAACACATAAAATAAGAACAAAATATCTAAAAAGTAAGTTAAAAACAGTATAATTTTGAATAAAACAATTGGACTTGAATGTAATTGAGCACTTTCATATTTTACGAAGGACATTTCTACAGTAGAACCAAAATTAAAACTATGTGAAACAAAATTTAAAATCTTTAGTTATAAGGAAACCATTAAGTACAACCATTAAAACTTAGAATGAAACCAAGAGAAATAAATTAAAACTGAATGTGATAACTCTTGTCAAAGGAGATGATACAGCATGTAAAGATTTAGAAAATTGATTAATATTATATATGATTTTATAAACGTTACTAGAATATTTTATTATGAAAAAAATCAAATTATAAATAATTTTTTTATGAAAATGAGTTTTATTTTGTAAAAAAACATTTATCTTTATAAATTTCTTTCTCTAAATGATTCTTATAAACTCTCTAATATTCTCATCTCATTCTTTATCTTTTTAAATATTCATGTTTATCATAATACTCTTGGTATAGAAGAAAACACAACCAACTCGTTAATTTTGTGAATAAAATAAGTTCATTTCTTTATTGAGTTTGTTGTGCTAAGTTACATGTATGGACAAAAGGAGTCACTAGTGATAACCTGTATCGCATAGGACAGGCTAGCGGACCATGTTTGGGTAACAGGCTGTGTCGAACTAGGCTACCACTTTTTTTTTAACCTTTTTTAATTTGTTTTCAATTTTTATTATTAAAAGCATTGATCATATAAAATATTTTCTATACTTTTAATTAATTAGTTAATGTTTTTAGTTAGATAAAATAAATTATTATTACATTTATATGTTAAATTATTATGTTATAACTAATAATTGAAACTTAATTTATAAGTGTTAATGATTTAAATTATAATACTTGTGCAATTTTAAAAAGTATAAAAAATTAAATTTTTTATTTTTTATTTAAAAAAAAATCAACTACGAGTTGAAATTTTCAACCCTTCCCATCCTATTTTGGATGGGCTAACTTGTTAAATTTAAGTCGTTTTATCATTTCTGGTTGCATGTGTAGTTTCATATGAATCTTTGTTTTTTTTTTGTTACGAGGATTTGTTCAAATTATTTGTCTCATCTATCTTTTGTATAATTAGAATTACATGTGAGGATTGAATGGAGTGGAGCCATTATTAGTGTAAACTCTGTTACTAAGGTATAGGTAAATTATAATCATTAGATTTTTGTTTATGGTTTGAAGTAGAATGGATTTGGTGAAATTGTTGGATTGGTGTGGGAAATTTTTAAATGTTTGGGTAAATAATGATTTGTTAGTTTTTGAAAACCTAAAATTGTGAAATGTTTGAATTTGAGTTATATGGATATCAAATTGATTAATTGGCACTTGTTAGAATGTTTAAAGCCAAAATATATCCATTTTAATGCTTAGAAAGAGTAAAAATAACTCAAATATATAGATCAATAAATAAATTTGATGCACATTCTTGAAACTTGGAAATCTAATATGATAGTGAGCAGAATCTCATAATTGGTGGGTGGTAGTAGGAGACCATAGGATGTTATCTGGAATTTAAGTTACAAAGAGATCTAGTGGTCTTAAGCATTGGCATTAGTTAAGTATACTACTATCTGAAAATTTAATTTCATAGAGCTTCAAGGCGTTGGGCGCGAAGTATTCTTAGAATGGTTGGAGCCGTGGTCGGATTGTAAACAATATGTTAAGAACAGACAAGTGTCTGAACATGGTGCCATGGTATTAAAGACGACATCAATTGATTAGGGACCCAAACTGTTTAGATCCCTAAATGTTTGGAATATAATGTCAGGGTTTAAGGATATGGTAAGTCAATGGTGGAAAAAGTACAAAGATATTGGGAATCTTGTGGTAGTAATGAAAGAAAATTTGAAAAAGTTAAAAAATGACATAAAATTGTGGAATAAAGACATTGATTCATCTTTACTCCAACAACTGTACATTCAGTTTTAAACACCAAAAAAACCTCATTATACATAGTTAAGACAATTTTAAGCATCACAAACACACCATTCCAAACATACCAACCTCATACTACCAAAATCATCAATTTCATAACTATCATACATTCAAACATAACAATTTTCTAAAAATTCATTTATTACTCATATAGATACTAATTTTATAGTACAAGCACAATCTAAAACAAGGTTCTAACTTTCCTTACCTCACAAGACCACTGCTAAACTCAAGGACATTTTGCCGATCGCTTGAAATGCAAGAAAACTATAGACGAACCTACAAAACATCGAATGATGGTCGGACAAAGTCCTTAGGACCTCAATTTAACCAAGAATAGAAGGGGAAACATAAAAGCCACATGCAAGGAAGGATTCTTGAACATAATCACATATTGAAATTTAACAGAAATAGGGGAAGAAACTTACTTGCTCTATGACGAAAATTGATTTGTTAGAAATGTAAACTTGTCGCCTTGATCAACTAGACATCTCCTGATCGTCAAAGAAATAACTAAGGAGTTAAAAGTCTTAGAAATAAAGTAGAAAACTCCAGAAAAAGAGTTTCTAAAAAGATGGTAAGTTTTAAAATAATGAAACTCCTTTATAACAAAACTATTTATAACTAAATCATTTAGTATTAAAATAACTGAATCTCACTATTTTTAATCTATCATCACTTATAAAATACCATTTTTTGAAGTTTTAGTTCGTATTAAATAATAATGTATAACATGACTTTAGAAGTATGTAAATGAATTTTTCGTTTTATATATTGATAATGAAATATTATAAATACTTTATTGTAAAGTTTTGATCAATAATTTTGTAATTGGAAAAAAGTATGTTAAAACAAGATTTAAATAAAGATTTTCTTTACATTTCATATTTTGTAAACATAGTTATGGTTACCTGTGAATTGTAATAATCAGTAAGGTTTGATAGCCTCCAACCAGAAATCACGCATTTCCCTCTCCTCACTGCAGCACATACCATGCCAAAAATGAACCCCCCTCTCTTCTAGATTTATGTTACAGAGGATAACATTTAAACTAATTTTCAGTTGTGACAGTATGGATAGCATATTTTTCTAAGATTCAATTAAAAAAACAAATTCATCTTAAACTCACGCTAAATGGCCATTTAATTGCTAGTATATAATTGCTTATATTTCGTTCATACGAAGGCTTAGAGAAATTGATGAATTTAAATATGTAATTTGCTATAAATAGCTGACATTAGGATTCTATTTTTTTTCTCTTAACATTACAACTTTTTTTTTTTTATGGGAGATAATAATCTTTACAGATATGCAAAGAAAAAAACAAAAAATGTGAAAACATTACTTTCCATCATGCTCTTTACTGTGCTTCATGGCAAGACTGAATTGTTCGAAAACAAATGTTTAAATAGGAATATAAAAAAATTGAACTTGAAATTTATTAGTGATGTCATTTTGTTATCTAGCAGAACCTTTAACCAAATGAAAGTGGGTTCAATCAATTCTTCTTAAAATTTATTCATAATTTGTATACATACGAAAAACAACTAGATTTATGTATTCAAATAAAATCTAATTAAAACTATATAACCCATTAAATCCAGTAATCAACAATTAATGTTGTAAGTTATAGCTACAATAATGTTTGTGGAAAATATTCAACTCTTGAATTCGGCTGGCTAGAATTGTTGAATGCTGAATTAAGATAAGAGAAATAAAAAACACCGAAGCAAACAGTTACATAAGGCTCCAACACAAAAGACAAAGGGTTTAAATAAATACATAAATAAATAAACCAGCTCCCTCCTCTTCATTCAGAAGCTAAAAGCATCATGTGCTCCGCACCTAACCAGCATTACATATAATAATTGTCTGGGACAACAAATATTATAAGATTATGATATATTTTTTCAGTGTTAATGTTAAATAAGTAAAAGAAAAAAAAAACAAATTTTATATGAAAAATATTTTATGCACGTCAAGGTATATATATATATATATATATATATGCGCGGGGGGGGAGGGCGCATGCCTAGACATAGAGGACAAATAGATTTATTAGATATACATAATATAATAATAAGACAAGTAGAGATAAAACAATATATAGTTAATAGATGTATATTAAATGAAGATATAGCTGAATGATTATCATCGTTTTGTGCTGGGATCGATTTTCGGATAATGCCACATCACTCACCCACTAAAAGCCTTTTCAAACGCAACTGGGCACGTAGTCACCAGTGTCTTCCCTGACTGGTGCCACCTTTGCCTTTTCCGAAGTAGGCATTCTTGGGTTTTGGCAACTCATGGAGATCCATCACCTGGATCGTTCTTTGCTTTTTGGCTAGACACACAACAGACAGACAAGATGGTAGTAAGTATATAACTTCTTAGTAGGCTTTCAAACTAACTGGCGGAAGAAACAATACGTAATAATACGAAAATGAAAATTAAATCAAGTAAAGTTTTCACCATTTGCAACCTCTTTGTAGTTCTCTTGGAGTCGCTTTCTCGCTGAAGCAAGTTTATCCAACTCAAAATTGCTCTCCCTTTGTCTCTGCAATCATTCAACAAGTCAGGACTACTCAATATGATCTTGTACAGGCACTGCATAATGGAGCTTTTATTATTATAGTCTGGTTTTAAACTTGTTGCGTGATTTTGAAGCAACGACCTCCAACATTTAGTAGCCACATTTAGGATCAGAACAGATACTCCAGAAAGGTTATAAATTCATATCTATGCGTTTTGAGGTGCAAGAATAGGAGTAGTAACTGATGCCGATGGTTTTAGGGGAGATTCTTTGTGAGGAATTGCTTTTGGTTTTCGTTGTTGTGTTTCAATGTTGTTGTGCTCTGACCCAAAACTTTCATCTGTGTGAGTAGGAATCATATTACGATATCAAACAAATCCAAACGAGATACAAATGAAGCTTTAAATCTAATACTGTACTCACTGTGTAGATTTGGCGAGTCTGCAAAATCAGGAATCTATGGAAGGAATAGAACATTAGAAAGACAATTTTTTAAGAAAGAAAAACCTCATCTTCTTTTCATGGAAAAACACTGAATGGTCAAAATGATTTCTATAACCTGACGATGTTCATTTTGTTGGATTTTATCTTGTGGCGAGTCCTCGTCAGCTGACATGCCGACAAGATGTATAAATAAACGAATTTCGACATTTTCAACTTAATAAAAGACAGAGTCCTTCATTACACATTTTCATTTCCACTAATGAATTTTCCCAAACAAAGACTAGTTTTACCCATGACAGTAGTACTCGCTTCTCCTGGCGTCTTCAACTTCACCCACTCATCTATAATCTCCTTCCATTTCCTGCATAAACGCATAAAGTAACAAAACAAATGTTCGGGAAAGTTCATCCATTAAAATGTTGCAATGCACACAAATATCAATTGACACTTGTAATTCACATTTTAAAAAACAAACAGAAAGTAGAAAGATTCAAAACCTGACTAGCAACTTCACCAATTTCTTAACGTCATTAGACGAATGCTTCCGCAACCGATTCACATGCCTCCCAATATCAGTCTCCTACAGAATCAGCTTTACATGAAATTAAAATATAAAAAAACAAAAACAATTAACAAACTGAGTGTGATAAAATGAGTTACTTGTAAGGCTCGGAATGTAATATCCATGTCTGCTAGATTCTGCAACAACTCCAACAACGAATCTTTGGACTACAGAAATAAATATTTTTATCAGATACTAATCTAATAAAAGGTCGTAAATTGAAAAATGAAAGTACAAAGACCTGGTGAGGATCTTCAAGTTGCTCTTTAATCTCTAGAATCTTCTTTTGTTCATCGTCAAATAAAACTTCGCAAGTATCCTTTTCCTCCTCCGCGGAGGGATTGCTTTGCATCTCGGTTTCTCTAACGTCGTCGATGTTACAATTTGGACACCGCGACGATGACAAGAAACTCGTCGCGTAGAGGCGCTCAACGATTCCGTCTCTTCGACGCCTCAATTCATCACTGTGGTCAGCAGACGCCACTGCGATGGCGACATCCATCAACATCCAAATGTCGATGCCCGCGCTCTCCAATATGGATCGAAAATCGTTAGAATCCATCTTCCAGCCAAAAAACAAAATCAACCTAACCAATTTCTTTTATGTAACTACTCAGATCCACCACAGAAACAGACAAAACCAATGCATCTATTCTTTCTCGTTTTTTTACAAGGGAAACTTAACAAAACAACAAAAATAAAATTATAAAGTATATTCCACAATAAATCTTTTATTTTTTTATTTTGGGAAAAATTAATTATTATTTTCATGCGTGGGTTGTTTGTTTGTTGTGTGGCCGTGGGAGAGAGATAAAGGTACAAGGAGGGAATGAATTTGAGAATTGAGATAATATGACCTCAAGTGTTAAAAAATATTAATTTTCTTTAATCTGTTGAACAATTTATATTTTATTACATGGGTCCCTCGCATTCAATTATCGCATTCTCAAATGTGAGATATTTGAAGATACTGTGGGATGAAGATGTCATTTTCTTAAATTTAATGTTTTTAATTTCAGAAATCATATTCACTTCAAATTTCATAAAATAAAAAAAATAACTATATTTAATTCTTCACCCTATCTAGTCTCTCATATGCCTTGGGTTCTTCTTTGTCAAGTTCTTCATTATAATGTTTTGTTATTCGGATGGGGTAGGGATGATGGAAAGGGAAGCAACAGAGGATATAAGAATAAAGGAGAGGAATTAAAAGTTTAACTGTTTTTCAATTAAAAAATTATTTTGTCCCTTCTTCAAATTTAACTGTTTTTTTTTTAATTTGGTGGTTTTTAAGCTTAACTATTTTTTAATTATAAAACTACTTATAGAATAAATAAACACTATTTATAAAGAATTATAAAAATTATTTATATTTAATTTTATAATAATGATAAAACCAACCATAATAATAGTAATAATAATTTTATTATTTTTTATTATCATGAAAATATATATATATATATATATATATATATATATATATATAAATTAATCTATATAGATATTGTCTACATTCAGAAAGTTGAATGCTTTCGTAAAAAGTTTGTACAATTTGAAAAAAGATTTTAATTGATAAAAAAGAAGATTCTATTTCACCACCATGCTATTAGACAATGTCATAAATAACATATAAATCATATTTGAAAAGGATGAGCAATTAACTAGAGGAGTTGGTGTTATGACAAAACTAATTAAAAAAAGAGGGAAAATTGTCCGTGTATGTATTTTTATTAATATAAATAATATAAAAGTATTATATTATAATAATAAAAATTAATATTATTAAAAATAATAATAAAAACAACTTTTTTTATCATCTATATCAATTTAAATTCAAAAATTATCATAAATATTTTTTTTCATTATTTTTTATTTTTTTAATCCAAACACATCATTTTTACATTTTTCTTTTCAAATTTATATTTTTTTCACTCCTTCAAATTCATGATCTAATTTAAACAAATTGATTAAAATATTATTAGACATATGTTATTAAGATTTGTTTTTAAATGATAATAAATATTTTGAGGTGTTAAATTAATTTATTTATAAGATTTTAAATGTAGATGAGGTGTTGTTGTTTCAAATACTATATAACAATTCTTTTTTATTGAATAACTTCATCTAATTTATAAAAAAAACAGTGATAAAAATTTATTATAAACAAATAGAATAATTTTATGTTTTTAAATTTGATCAAAATGAAACTAAATGATACATATTTTCTTTACAAAAAACAGACATAATTGATTGTGAATAATTATATCTCATCATATAATCAATTATGTTGCCATCTAATAATATTTTATTTTTCTCTTCTCATTTAGATAGTGTTTGTATGGGTGATTTTCCTGTTTAGGAAGACTCATGACAGATTTATAAGAATTGTGATGTTCAAATATACAATAAAGGGAGAACGAGGAATTGCGAGATGCATTCTTTTTTTCTAACCCAATGAATTATGTCAAAATGTTATATTTACTCACTGTCATTCAAGCCAAATATAACGTTATCCATTTCATTTTGTACTACAAAGAAGATGTAGAATCGATTCCAAATGTTGAAATAATTGATTCGAACTTGGTCCACCCAAAACCACCCCTTTCCATCACCCACCAGCCTCACCTTCCCCTTGTATTTCACTGCCATGAAAACTCCTCCCCGCCTTTTTAGCACTGTGTTCCATGTCACTCTCACCTCCTCCTCCCCCTCCTTCAAAACCACGCCGTCGCGACACCCCCACCGCCACCATGTGCAATGTCTCACAGACTCGCAAGCCGGAAGCCACGACACCGTCGCGGGTGGAGACGTAGACACAAAGACAAGGTCCTCAAGTGAAAAACTCGATTTCGAGAGCCTTGGTGTGTGACGAAAAGACGACGGTAGGAGATGGCAAGGAAAGCGTGCCTAAAGAGTAGAAGCTGTTAAAATCATAGTGTGTCGTCCTGAGGTTTTCGGTATCGCGTTTAAATTATTCGGAAACTGTTAAAATGATGTGGTGGAGGAGGCAGTGTCTTGTTTGCATGACTATAGAGTGCCATGTAAGATTGGACGGTGAAAGAAAAACCCTGGCTTTGTTGTTATGCCACGTGCCTAGGTTTTTTACCAACACTGAGTAGATTTCATTCATTCAAGAAGTACTTTATAAGGAAAATAATAAATTTTAATTTATATTTTAAATGCGTTCAAATATTATTCTAAATTAATATTTCATTTATTAGGATTGAGTGAATAATTAATTGAAGACATGAAATATATAATTACGAATTACGGGAATTTATTTTCATTTAATTAAACATCTCGTTAATAGCAATAATTAAATATCACACAATTATTTCATTTTATTTTAATACAGATTTATTTATTTATTTTAAATTACTTTTTATATTTTTTCTTTCTTTTACAGATAATTATATTAATAAATGTCACTTTATATTATTTTTATCATTAAAAATATTTTAGTAATTTTTATTTTCTATTTATTAAAACATTTTTCTTATTAATCACGTGACTCAAATATAGGATGACAATTTTAACTGGAGGCACAGGTATCAGCGGGTAAAATCCGCGGCAGATAGTTACTATCCGCGAGTATTTACTACCCGCGGGTAACGGATAATGGGTATTTTAATACCCGCTTCTAAACGGGTTGGATACGGGTAGTATACTACCCATTACCTGCAAAAAATTAAAAAAGTTTAATAATTTATATATCTTTTAATTAAATTTAATTAAAAATAAAATAAAATAATATTTTATTAAGTTAAATTTAATTAAAATTAAAATTTAATTTATATTTATATTATATTATATATTTTTTTTGTAATTTTATTTTAAAAATGTATTAAATATTTTCTTTTGCGGGTATCCGCGGGTTTTAAAATACTCGCGGGTATTTTTAAACGGGTACCCGCACGAGTAACGGGTCGGGTAACGGATACAATTTTATCCGACGGGTCGAGTTGCGGATAGGCACTACCCGTGCCCAACGCGCCCCGTTTCCATCCCTAGTCAAATCCAACATAAACTTTCATAAATTTTACATCCAAATCTATTTTCATTCACTTTCAAATCTTTTCAAATAAATAACACTCATTTTTCTTTTAAATATTCTTAAATTAATCCACTCTCACTTCCCAAAATTCATTACTCCAAGTGAACACACCCTCAAATATCTCTCCCTTCTCTCTTCTCCCTCTTTTTTATCTTTGGTTTAAACCCTCCCTTGGTCCTCAAGTTTGTATGGAAATCTCAGTTTGGTCATCATCTTTTTTTCTGTCTCAATTGGATCATATTTTTTGTAAAAATGAGCACATTTTACCCTAACCGTTAAATTGTAACGCCGTCTCACACCACTTAACGGTTATGGTACAATGTGCTCATTTTTACAAAAAATATGATCCAATTGAGACAGAAAAAAAGATGATGACCAAACTGAGATTTCCATACAAACTTGAGGACCAAGGGAGGGTTTAAACCTT